CAAAGCATAATATATAAAATAACATCTACCAGAGTTTTTTTCTTTGAAAGAAGCCCCTTATGTCCATTCTTGTATATCAGTGCATTACTGAAACCGATTTGTTTAGCCGTGGAGGGAAACAACTGAAAATATGAAATAGACACACATGTAAGCTAAGACTCTCTAAAGAAACATTATTGTTGTTGTTCGGCTTTTCATTTCGCCATTTGTTGATTCACTTGAAGAGCAAGTAACGTAATATGGGTCAAGTGATCAGTTTGACATCAATCTTTCGTGATACACCGTCATATTTACATTATTTGTACAGTACGAATGATTTGCTTTGGTACCTGGTCGAACTTCAGTTCTCCTCTGTCTGCCTGGCTGCGTTTCTCTAACAGCGCACTCGCAGGCAGCAGCTGCCCCGCCCTGTCTGAGCTCGGATCATACCAATATCAGGGGGGATTTACGCACAGTCGTAAATTCCCACAGTGCGCGATATGTGCTTCGAATATTGTGTGTACTTTATGTTTTATACAATGTTAGCCAGGCATCTAACTATGAAAAAATTACACTCCAAAAGACCCCGGGCTTCTGAAAAAACAACCCGGGCTTAAGCCCAGTAAGCCACCCCCTCGCTCCGCCACTGGTGTGGACGTAGCCAAAGAGACAGACAACAATTCGCACTCACATTCATACCTATGGGCAGTTTAGATTTTGATCAATTAGACACTCAACCCTTAAGACTACAGGCCTAATTGACATCCATGTTTTTGTCCCAGCTGGCTTCTTGCATGCTGTGCTAGCGTAGGATATCAATGTGTATGTATGAGTCACATGCTTTAATGGTTAGACAGAGACCCTACAGCCTGAGTACATAAGACTCAGTGTCTGCTATGATGAATCTGAGTGACATGATTGAGGGAGAGCACTTAACACAGTATCATATTTTTTTGCTGGCTGTTTGGAGCTTCATACAGCTGAAACTAATGTGGTCTACAATAGAAACGTTTTGCCATAAAAGCTGCAAGAAGCACATTGTAAACATTGTCTAGGAGGAGTCCTGTTCTGTTTGCGGTGCTGAGAGCCATTAATGTCTAATCTCTTTGGTGTGAATTTATGCCGGTGGTTTGTCCGATGACCACGATATTATTTACACAATTCTAACAGGGAGGCAACCGCAAACAGGTCACTTTCTTGACTTTTTAACTCACCAGCAATAACCCAGCAGATGTAAAATAAAATTGTCAGTGAGGTCCAGGCTTTGTAGATTGTGTTCAGTGGGTTGGAGGTGCCTTCTTCAGGCTCCTTGGAGCAGGGCAAGCAGGAGAGCAACACACTAAACACACTAAAGACTCCCAACACTATCAGATAGATGGGGATGTAGTGCTGGCGTGGACACTCATGAAGGTATATTCCCCCTGGTGGACACAAGGAGGATGACTCAAACAAAATCAATAAGAGCTGCCTGGAAAACCTTAACACCTGTGAATACTCAAGTAAGTAAGTAAATATGAAGCTCACCAATTGCAAGCTGAGGAATGTTCAGGGTGCAAAGAAACCCCTTAAAAATCGCTGCAAGAAAAATCAAATACTGAACTCATTTTCTTCAAATGATATTTACAGAAATAAAACTATGACACCAGGGTTCATGATGTTAACATAGCTAGATTTTACCTAGAGCGATTCCTGAGGCTTTAGGACGGTTCCACATGCGTCCCAGAAGGTAACTGCTCTCCATTTTTCCTAATGAGGTTTCTCACCTGCGGAAGAAGATAAAGAGCTGAGCTAGATGAGAAAAGTTGTTCAGATTCTTTTAAAAGTCAAATTGAAGTTGTGCAAAGCGATCTTGAGCAGCCAGAAGAGGTGATGGCAATGGTGTCTAAACAAATCTTTTGAGTACAATACAGGAAATCTGTTTTTGTCCCTTCTTTGTCTGTGAGCACCTCCTTCATCAGAGGCTCTTGTGGTTTCTTGCATGTATCAGGTCATCACGCTGCGTATCAACCATCTAGCAATGGCCTAAAATGACCCAATTTTAGCATATAAACATCCACCGCTCCTATTTTCTTTGGTCTTTTCTCAATGTGATTAAGTACAGCAGCTTGCCAGCAGCAAACAGACTGGGATTGGATATCAATCCCAGTCTGGCAGATGACTGCCAGCTCTACTTACCTTTTAGTCATTCTGATTAGTGCAAAATGCTGCAGCACGATTTTTAACTGGTAGAAGAAAATTTGATCACATCACTCCGATTTTGGCCTCTTTACACTGGCTTCCAATT